TCTGACTTGTCAGGATTCATTTCTGACCCACTCAAAGGAACTCTCTCTTTTTGCCTTGAAGCATCTGCTGAGTTAGAAGTTTTCCTAACAGGAAAAACTGAGCCCTAGAGAGCAGGGTCCCATAGACCCAGCAGCACTGACTCCTAACTTCGCTTTTTCTAGACTATATAATATACTGATGTTCTACTTCTGGATGGTCAGCAGAAACGGCCCCTGTCTCCATGGAGGCCTCTGGCCATATGTCTCAGAACAGATCTATGTCTTCTGGGGAAGAATATGGTNTATGTAGAAGAATGAAACAAGACCTATACCTCTTGCCATATACCAAAATCAACTCAGAATGGATTAAAGACTTAAAAATAAGACCTGAAGCTGTAAATCTCCTAAAAGAAAACATAGGGAAAACACTTCAGGAAGTAGAACTGGGTAAAGACCTTATGAATATGACCCCCAAAGCACAAGCAACAAAAGGAAAAATAAACAAATGGGATTATATCAAACTAAAAAGCTTCTGCACAGCAAAAGAAACAATTAACAGAGTGAAAAGACAACCTGCAGAGTGTAGAAAATATATAAAAGTTATGTTGAATTGTCACTTATTGTGAATATTTTCCTAAGGAGTTTCTTTTACTTTTCTTTTTTTATGTCTGTCTTAGTACCCAGTTGAAGCTCAATGATTTCCAAAAAATTAAAGTATATTAGTTTATAATAATAACAGACATGCTAAAATAAAAATGGAAAATCAAAATTATGCAGCAGAGATAAATTTCCCTAAATTTAATTTTATGTAGTAATTGTGATTAAGTTTTCTTTTAGTCAAACTAAAATGGGAAATATAATGGGTGAAATATTTACATTGTTTGGTAAAAATAAATGTATCAATTCTATAGGAGAAGCTTTTTTTCCTGTTATCAAAATAAAGAAATAAATTATATGAGTTATTTTGCAAGGACTAGTGAATAAATAACATAATGAATAATGCCTTCAACTTTAGTTGATGAGTTCCTGAAAAGGCCAAATATGTCATCTCTCTGTAAAAACTGAGATCAGCACTGAATACACAGAGGAATGAATGAATAGCATCCCTTAGACTAGTGGTACCCAAATTGGCTAGTTTTACAATTATGTCCATAATTCATTTTGAAGGGGTTTTTTGCATATGGGGAAAAGTAAAAGTCAAGATTCTTTTTTTTTTTTTTTTTTGCATATGGATATCTTCATGTTCTGGCACCATTTGTTGAAAAGACTACCCTTTCTCTACTGAATTACCATGGCACTTTGTCTGTGACCAGTTAACCATATATGTATTGGTGCATTTCTATACTCTTTTTTTTCCTGTTGACCTATATGCATATGTCAATTCCTATGCTGGTTAAACAGGGTCAATCTCTTGATTGTTGTGGCTATATAGTAAGTCTTGAAATCAGGAAATGCGAGTCCTTCAACATTTATTTATT